TTGTTGATGGAACTTTGATCATCTATATTTTCAACGTCATCCTACAAAAAAGAGCAATATCGTGACTTCATCTTATTATCTCATCAAATCTCTTGATGCAACTCTCTGTCATCTTCGATCATTTAGATCTTGTGTATTTAATAGTGTTTGATTAGGTAAATAATAAAATTTAGATATTAAATATATAAATTCTCATATTTTAAGTGTATTTATGCATTTTTTTTAATAGAATTACTACATTTTGAAAAGGGAAAACAAAATAAACTATCAACTTTGCATAATGTCTTCAAGAAACAAAAGATGGGAATTTGATCTAAATAATGAAAAAACTTAAAAATCGAACGAGGTAGTGAAGGTTGGTTCAGCGTCCACATGGCAGAGAAGTAATTAAGTAGATTTATAGACCCAATTTAATTTTAGATGAATTGATATAAAAGCATAAGTCTATGCTCCATAAAAATATTATATATTAATTTTCAAGAAATTTTTTTTCTTCTCTATTTACAAAACTTGAAAAAAGACTTCAAATGAATCAAGCAAACCAGATTAAGGGCATACTCAAATTTGAGTTGCTAAAATCTTATTCAAGCTTGAGGTTGAGCTCGATTTGAGTATTAGTAATAATATTGAAGCTCGATTCGGTTAAACTTATGTATGCTTAAGCTTAAGCTCGATTCATTTGCTTGGGTTTTGAAGGCTTGCAAACAAAGGTTGCAATATTCATTCACTCGAAAAATTATTAAGAAACACTATAGTAAAGTCAGTCGTTTGCGGTGGATTTGCAGTAAACTTTACAACAAAATATTGTTTGTCGAAAATATCAACAGATTTGTTGCAGACTTTATGACATAATACTATATTTTTTATTGAATTTAGTGTGTAAGAATATTATTATTTACTATAATATTTCATTATCATATTTATTTCATGATTAGTTTTGTTATTATAATTCAATATATGATTATATACAAGATGATTGAATTATAAAAAATAACATAAATTAGTTCATATTTATTAATTATAGTAAGAATCTATAATTAAATATAATTAGTTTGGTTTTGTGAAAATGGTAGGAGCGGCAGAGAAGGGAGACGGAGAAGGAAGACAGAAGCGGGAGAAAGCGGGAAAAATATTATTCAAGAAGTTAAGTTTACAGATACATATATGAGTGTATATATAGACTGAGTACAAGTAATGACCGGTTATGCCTTTGATACAAGGTGACGTGTCGGTTTCCTTAACAGGTTTATCAATTTGATCATCGAATTATATTTACAGAGCAGCTCGACGAGAAAAATCCAAAGAGCCCAAGATCAATGAATTCTGAAATCACTAAGACACTTAAATGCTTAACAAATTCTCCATGATCAATGAAATTAGTATGAACCGTACGATGGAGCACTTTGAATTTACTTAGGATCTTCCTAATATTTACAGAGCATGTCACTTCCCAAAATAGACCATCATTCTTCACATGAAAGGAGTGAGGATTAGAGGCGGTTTGGATCATGGGCTAGAGACTCAAAAGAGCTCTTAGGTTTGAGAATCTTGGAGCTTCAATCTAGCACCATCAATGGCAAATCCTTGACACTCGGCTTCCACCACTCCATTGAGCTTTGGTACCCATCGATTAAGATCTTTTGAACAACTGTCGCCCATCGACTACGATCACTCTAACCACCACAACCTGACACAATCCTTTCGATTATTGTTGCCCATCGACTACAGTTTCTTCGACCACCGTCGTTCGACTACAATCTTTCATACTTCTGTCTCCCAACTATGATCTTTTAGACCTCCGTCACCTAACTACGATCCCTACGACCACCGTCGCCCGACTACATTCATTCCAACCACCGTCACCCAACTACAATCCCTCTGATTGTCATCGCCCGACTATGATCTTTTCAACCATCATAGCTCATAAACTACGAACCTTTCGACTATCATTATCCAATTAAGGCCATTCCAACATCCACCACTCTCTCCCGTTGACTACAATATCTCTGACCACCGTCCCTCGACTACGATCCCTTTGACAGCCATCACCAGACTATAGTTCCTACGAACACCGTCGCCCGACTACAATCCTTCAGACCATTGTTACCCTTCGACTACCGTCCTTTCGATCATTTTTTATTAAGGGGCTGTTTGGTTGCCTGCAAAGTAAATGCAATGTAAATTAAATACAGTGTAAAATAAATATAGTGCATTCCAAATATTTTGAGGCTGTTTGGTTGTCTGTAAAGTAAACGCAGGATAAATGTTTCCCTTGTTTGGTTAGATATATCCAGAGTAAAGTAAAAACAGTTTATTTGTAATATTTTTTTTGTCATTATAACTAGTATATTTATAAAAGCAGTTATAATTTTTTTTGAAATTATATGATATAATATTTGTAATTGAGAGAAATTTTAATTTTAATTTTGTGAAAATATAAATTTTTTATTTTAGAAATTAGAATTTTTTCAAAAAAAAGAGAGGAGCCATATTTGTACATCCTTTTTTCAAGGAGGTGAGAGATTTACCTTTTATATATAATTGGATCAGTAAACTCTCATAACGAGTTCGTTTTGTGACCGTAAGATTCCTAAACATAGCTAAGTATCTCTGCTTCTTAATTTCCTAATAAGAAAAGCATACAAGATGGATTGGGTGAGTGGCTCTGCTATTGGTCTAGGAAGCTCCAGTGCCGTCCACCTGGCATTATTCTCAAAATTACAACAATTTTTTTTTTACTATTTTTCCTTTCAAATGAAAAAAAAAAAAATGAATATTCTAACATAATTTATATGAATATAAATTTAAAAATCATGAATTATTAATCACTAATTTCAACATAAAATCTATTATTTTCAAAATAATTCAAATAAAAATTACAAAACACTTTTTTCCCCCCAAACCCGTTCAATAAAACCACCCTCCATCTCTAATTAAAAAAGCGTAAAGCCATGGTTGAAACCAACAACAACAAAGATTTCATTCGAATCTCAACTTTAACCAATTACCAAATACTTACATGACATAAAGAAAAACCAACATAACCAGAACGGCGGCGGAACGCAAAGCGCAAGCTTTTTCGAACTCCGCCGTCGCCTGTTGCCGGATTCTCCGAGCTGCGGTGAGCTCTCTCTCCGCCATCTCCACTTGCTGCCTCCCCGGCTTTTCGTTTACTGGCGCCGGCGGGCCGATGGAGAGGTCGAGCGCGGTGGACGGAGGAGCGAGAAGTTGGAGTTCGAAGTTCCGGCGAGAGGGCGGGTGAGAAAAATGGTGGTTTTGGGTAAGGAGGCGGCGACGCCGACGGTGGCGTGTCGGCAGAAGGGCTCCGGCTGTAAATCGGTCGGGAGAGTGAAGTTATTTGTTGAGGAGTGCGCGGTTCGAACCGGCGGCGGCTTGCACTGCAGGTGTCTTGGTGTTCGATGAAGCTCTCCATGTATATTCATATTTTCACCGCCGTCGGAGTGGGGCGGCGGTTGAGGCAGCCGAAGCCCGCACAGTTGAGATCCCGGGAGAGACCCCATATTTTCGAACAGGATAAGAGATTCCGTAAGAGAGGGCGCGGGATCTGGTGGGAAGAGGTCTGAGGGAAATGGATGCGGAGGATTTGCGGAACCTGGCGAAGCGACGATGCGGGAACGTCAGCGCGATCGCAGGAATGGAGAAGAGAGCAAGGAAGAACGGAGAAGAAGGGAAAATATATGTCAGCTTCGGCGAAATCATCGCCCAACAGCCACAAAGAATTTCTAACCCGCTCAAATTGAGCGGGTTTCGAAGTCGCGTGAAATGCCTCCCCTAATACACCGCTATTGCTACAGACGTATTTCTTTTGCTTCCCTCAAAATTAACCAAACAATCGAAATTAGTAAATACCTGTAATTGTTTTACTTTACCCTCCTAATTCAGGCAACCAAACAGCCCCTAATTACCATCCTTTTGACCTCCATTGCCCGCTTATTATGATTCCTCCAACTATCTTCACTACGACCTCCGTCACTTGCTGACTACATCCCTTCTAACCGCCGTCGCCCACTATCTACGGTGCCTCCGACCACCGTTTCCCAACTACAGTCATTCTAGTCCAACTATGGTCCCTTTGACCTCTTTTGCCCAAATAAAATCCTTCCAATCAAATAAAACATGTCAACATTCTTTTGATAACAATTCTCATGACATTATGTTCTTCAAACCCCAATCATGTAAAGTGCTATATATATATAGTGCCAATATCTTTTCCCGAGGAAGGACGTCATTTGTACTTAATAACAAGCATTAGTGGATTCATTCAAACTGGGCAATGACATGTGATTTTTTTCCTTTCCTCAGGGGTTTTCATGTAAAAATTTTAGTGTTTCTTATGAAAGCTACATCTCTCTTTCTTATATATATATGTGTGCTAGATTTTCATATAAGTTAGAATACTAAACTTTATATCTTTTTACCGACACGAATGTTGCAGGACACAACAAGATTAAACATCCTAAATTTTATGTTTAGAAAGTTATAAAAAATTTTAATCAAAATAAATTATTGGGTGGAGTTAGGATCATTGAGATCTTTTTGACCCAATAAGTCAGGTTGAATTCGAATATGATGAATCAAATTTAGACGCAATAAGTCAACCCATTTGGACCCCTACACGAAAAGTAAAAAAAAAATTTGGACCCTACAAAGTCCACGGGACTAGTTCAGAGTCAATGTTGGCTTTTTCTCCTCACTGAACGAGCCTTAGCAGAAGCAAAGCGGAAACCCGCTAACGACAATTGGAATGGGGACTTTTATCTCCGGGCTTGATGAGACGACGCAATTGAGGACCTGTAAATGATGAGAGAGGCAATCTTCCCGAATCCTCTCTGCTTCTTCTTCTTCTTCTGCTTCTTCTTCTTCTTCTCCATCTCCTCCGCCACAGACATCATTACTCCATCTCATCCACTTTCCAATGGCGAAACCCTCATCTCCGCAAAAGGAACTTTTGCGCTCGGCTTCTTCACCGCTCCCCATAGCGCCAATCGCTATCTCGGCATTTGGTACCACAAATTCCCCGTACAAACCGTCGTCTGGGTCGCCAATCGCCGGAATCCGATACACGATCTAAATGCCACACTGTCGATCACTGCCGACGATGCGTCTCTCTATCTCATGACCTCCGGTAACTCCACCCCCATTTGGTCTTCTCCTTCCTTCCCCAAATTCTTTCCTAATCCGATCGGGCAGCTTCTAGATACCGGTAATTTTGTGGTGAAATCGTCCAATTCTAGCTCCATCTTATGGCAGAGTTTCGACCACCCAACAGACACCATGCTCCCAGGTATGAAGCTTGGCCCTAACCTGAAAACCGGCATCGACCGCAATATCACGGCATGGCTGAGCGTCTCCGATCCATCGCCGGGAAAATATGCCATGGCGATCGACATAATCGGCGTTCCCCAGATGGTCATCCGCGACGCCTCTGGCAACTGGATCTGGCGTGGTGGACCATGGAACGGCTTCGGCTTCTCCGGCGCCGGCCCTAATCAATACTTTGACCTTGGATTATACCGAGAATTCATCTCCGGCTTCAATGTCAGTACGGAGGAGATCTACTACTACTTCAACTCCGTCGGAGATGCCATTTCTATAATTACCATGGATGAAAACGGGACAGCCAGGCGTTACGGATGGCAAGCGTCTTTGCAGAAGTGGGATCTCTACTGGTTAGCGCCGAGCGACCCCTGCGACTTCTTTTCAACATGCGGAATCAACGCCTTCTGCAACGGGAGCAGCTCGCCGATATGTCGTTGTCTTGATGGGTTCGATCCGAAGAATCCGGCGAGTTGGAGCCGGGGAAATTGGTCAGATGGGTGTGTGAGAGTGGAGCCTCTTGGCTGCGGCACAAATGGAACCGATGAGTTCATGTTGGTGCGCGGTTCGAAGCTGCCGGACACGACGGCGGCGGTGGCGAATACGACCTTGGACTTGGATGGGTGTAGGGCAAGGTGTTTGATGAATTGCTCCTGTAAAGCTTACGCGAGCGCTGATCTCAGCATGGGAGGAAATGGATGCATTATTTGGATGGCGGAGATTAAAGATCTCAGGGTTTATGCGGACGGCGGGCAGGATCTTTACGTCCGGATCGCACCGCCTGGTAAAGGTGCGTAATTTTTGTCCTCGGAAAATTAAAAAAATGTGATATATATATATAATATTTAAATCTTTATCATGCAATTTTTTAGTGTTTAAATAATATTAAAACTTCTTTATATAAATATGAATTGAATTTTTTTTTTTTAAATACTAGTTGTATTTTTATGCTGTTTAAAAATTAACATATATAAAGTTAAAATTTTAAAAATTTAATGATATATTTGTAAATCTTCAAAATAAATATTTATTTACGTAAGAGATGAAGCTTATAATTTTATTAGAAAACGCTGAATAAGTTATGGAACAAGATAATTAGTTGACAAAGTCATTTGAAAGCTGGTATTCTTCTAACTCAAAGCCAATGTTATGAACATAATCTGTCACAGTCTGCACGGTTTTTATATTAAATTATAGTTTCATTATAATGCTGGAAAGCAAAAGATAATTAATTGTTAATTTATATATAATATTCCGAAGATTTATAGTAAACTTTTAAAATTCTTATTTGGCCAAATATTTATAGTTGGATGAAATTCTAGGTTTAGGGCTAAACTGTAAATGTCAGATATGTGACAAAAATAAAATATTTGATTGATGATTAGGTATTATATGACGGAGATATGGGTAGAATTCATTAATGTAAATTAGCGAAATCTAAGTTTGGGTGGTTGGGAATGAATAAACAATGTCATATACTTGACCCATATTCTTTAGCAGTCAAATCAGAGCAAGAAAAAATTAAAGCTATTATGAATAGGTCAAAAATCACTGCTTGAAAATTTTTTAATGTTTATACTGCTATCAATAGATAATTATTAGGTCAAAAATCTAACTTAAGACTAGAGAAACATCCATTATTTTCTTTGGAAATTTATATGCATTTTGTTGAAAAAGTTTAAAGTTTATATATTTAATCTCTGAATTTTTTAATTTAGGGACAGATAATTCAAAATATTAGATTCAAAACATCAAAATAAAATAAAAAATAACAAAATTATATACTGTCATTACACAACGCATCATATTGTTCCTGGTTGCTGATCTCTATTGCCTCTATCACTAAATGCATTGTAGGTTTAGTTACGTCAATACATCCGAATCTGTTGGTCTCCTACAACTATTGTTGCTTCTACGAGATCCGCACAGATCATAATTGTTTCACTTTAAATCTCATTGAGATTGCCGTTGTTGGAACTTTTTTTGACATTTGAGTTAATTAAGACAAACTCACACACATAACACATACGCGAGCTTCGAACTTAAGACCTCTTAGTTGATAGTCAAAGCTCCCAACCAATAGTTCAAGATGAGCTGTGTCTGTTGGTGGAACTCTAGCCATCTATGTTTCCACCATCATCCAACAAAAAAGTAGTACACTAACTTTGTCTCGTTATCCCAAATCTCTTGATATAGTTAATTTTATTAATAGAATGTTTGGTTTGATACATAATGAAATTTCGCTATTAAACATGTATATTCTTATATTTTAAATATATTTATGCAGTTTTTTTGGGTTAGGACTACTACATTTTGAAAACTAATAAACTTTCAATTTTTGTATAAAGTTTTGAAGATACAATAAATGATGAGAATTTGATCTAAACAATGAAAGAAATTAAATCGAAAGAGGTGGTGATTAGTTTAACTTCCAAATGGCAAAGAAGCAATTAAGTAGATTTATGGACCCAAATACTTAGATGAATTGATATAAATGCGTTAAGTCTATGCTCCATATAAATTTTTTTTATTAATTTTCAAGGAATTTTATCTAATTACAAAACTTGAAATAAGACTGCAAATGACTCAAGCTAAGCAGATTAATGGCATGCTGGAATTTGAGCTCAATTCTTAATATCTTATTCAAGCTTGAGGTTGAGCTTGATTTGAGTGTTAGTAGCAAAATTAAAGCTTGTTTCGGTTAAAATTATATTTGCTTGAGATTAACTTGTTAGCTATCCAAATGAGCTTTATTGTGCCTATTGATAAGCAAAACTATTCAACAACTTGTTAGTTAATTGAACAAGCCTTATTGAGCATATTAATCAATAAACAATTAAGCTTCAAAATTGGATGAACTATTAAATAACAAGTGTTTTAACAAACTTAAATAAATAACTTGCATTTAATTAAAGTCGATGTAATATAAAAATGAAGAAGACTTCCACATAAGTAAATACTAAATAAATTTATAATCTTCTTAAATGTACTTATTATGAAGCCTTACTCAACCTTCTTAACAAGCTAGTTCACAAGCTTAAATGATATTGTTCATCATCATAGATAAATCAAACATTAAGCTCTTGCTGCTTGTTCATTTATTAATCAAGAATTTATATAAGTCTTAGGGGTATACATGAGCTGAGTAGGCTTGAGCTCGACTAGTTAATGAGCTCATCAAGCCACGAGTTCGAGCTGATGCCTATACTCGAGCTCGTATATTTAACGAGCTTTAGCTCGAGCTCAGCCTGACTTGGCTTAAAAGCTCGTTGAATCCCTCGATTAATTTAAAATATAGTTAAAATTAATATAAATTATTACTATATTTTATATTTTAATATTTAAATTAATTCTATGTTCAAAATAAAAATTCTTAAAAAATCAAACATTTTAATTTAAACTAAGAAATCAAGCTCAACAATTATGTCAAGCTCGAGTTTTTCAAACTAGCTCAAGCAATCAAGCTATTTATAAAACTAAGAAATTGATTATAAAGATGAACATATATAAAATAACTTTAATCATGAGTTATTAAAAAACTCCTATTTGTGACGTATGATTTTTTTACTTATTCTCAAATAATTTGGAAGATATAAACTCAAACTTTGTATCTTAAAAACACAATAAAATAAATGGTTGAGAATATTAATATACAAACATGAAATCTATTCCCTATTCTTGTTCATTAGTGAATTAATTGAAATTCAAGGTTGAAGATATAGTTAGAGAGGTGATAGAATTACCTAGCTTTAATTATTAACATTTTATGGAGGATTATTTTTTATGTAATGATTAAATTAATGGCCAATTCAATATTTTAAATTGAGTTAATTATGGTATTAATTCAAGAGTACAATTTAATATTTATAGTGGAATAACATTAAAATTAATAATTTGATTTATTAATTTATTCAAATTTATTGGAGCTTGAATTATAGATCCATAAGGCTCCTTCTTCGTCACCTTAGTACTATAATATATTTAACCTATAATTATTTTAAATTAATTGAACACTTGTTAAAAATGTGAGATAATATAAATGTTAAATTATTTGTCATACTTTTATGTTATAAGAATACCTTTTATTTATATTGTATAAACTAATAAAGATGCATATATGGCATGAATGCATGTCTTTTAATACTAAAAGGTGCTTTATGAATAGATGCATCTTTTAATACAAAAAGATGCTGCATGAATAGGTGTGTGTATTACAAAAATATACTTTATGAAAAGAGGTGTCTAAATTGAAAAGATATGAAATTCTCTTATAAAAGGATGATCGGAGAGAATTTTTCTCTTAGTCTTTCTAATTTGGAGAATAAAGTTGTTTTAAGAACACAAAATTAAATTCTAAATAATATTGTGTTGAGAATAAAAATTAAATTCAAAAGAGATAGTGTTCATCAATAATTAATTGAATGTGCCCACTAGTTAAAATATATTTAGTGAGGTGATTAGAAGAAGATGATTTACAGTCTCAATCAATATTTTAGTAATTTATTTATTCTTTTTGGAATAATTATTTTTAACGAAAATTGATTTTGAGAAAGTCTCAATTTAATTTTCAATATCTTGTTTTTCATTTCTGCATTTATATAATAGATGTCATAAATTCAACAAATATATATTACAAAGTGAATGGAAATTTCTAAGAAACTGAATTAAGGGAGTGTTAAGAAGTAATTCACTCAAGCTTCTTTTGGGATGACTTTCTTGATGTTTCTTAAAGCAGTTTTCTAGTATAAAAAATTAATTTTTTGTGCTAGAAAATTGCTTTAAGAAGCAGCGAGAAAGCCGTCCCCAACGAAGCCTTAATCTCCTTTAAAAATATGTAGTATCTTAAGAAGTTGATTATTAAGAAGGTTTTATAATTCAGGCACGCGATATAATATCTTAGAAACTTCTGGCCGTTAGAGTTAATCTTACTATATCAGTAGTGTTCTTATTCAGTAATCAGTACTGAGAAGCTAAAGAGATGAGCTCATCTGTAAGTAGAGGTGAAATCCTCCTCATTTGTAACACAATACAAAGATTGTTTAAGCTGTAAAAGAGGCTATTTTAATTGAAAGCCCCTTTTCCAGTTTCATTTTTCAAACGCATATATATATGACTTCGTATTATTGTAATTTTGTGAATAACAGGGAGCAAGAGAAAGCGATGGATTTTTGTCCTGGCATCAGTACCTACTGTTTTGTTCTTGTTGATAACTTTGATATGTGTCTTTATGATAAGGAGACGAAAAGGCAAATGTAAGTTTTTGAACTGCTCTTATTTTAGTAACATTATATCATATATGGAGCGTACTAAACTTTATTTTATTCTAATCAGATTTTGCCGGGGAGCAATTAATTTCCTCTCCAAATTGGGCTGATGAAATCATGCATCAAGGCAAAGAAGGGAATTCAGAAATATTATTGTTTCAATTTACTCAAATAGTGAATGCCACAAACAACTTCTCAGATATCAACAAGCTTGGGGAAGGTGGATTTGGGCCTGTTTACAAGGTAGCTTGCATATTTATGAACTTTTTCAATACTATGTGAAACACTCCAATGCATTATGATATATGTCATTTAGAATTCATTTGGGACGGCTTTCTTATTGTTTCTTAAAGCTACTTTCTAGTACAAAAATTTTAATTTTTGTACTAGAAAGTCACTTTAAGAAACAACAATAAAGTTGTCTCAAACGAAGCCTTAATGTGCATTTAATGGACCATATTGCAGGGAAAATTACCAGATGGACAAGATATAGCAATCAAAAGACTATCTGCAAGATCAGGGCAAGGGTTGGAGGAGTTCAAAAATGAAATTTTATTAATCGCTAAACTACAACATAGGAATTTAGTAAGATTATTAGGTTGTTGTATATGGGGTGAAGAAAAGATGCTTGTATATGAGTTCATGCCTAATAAAAGCTTGGATCTCTTTCTTTTTGGTAAGTTCTTACAAGGAATTAAGCCTAAATTTCATTTTTGTAATGTAACAAATTCCTATTTGTAGTATTCCTTGAAGAGCTAATTAAGTTAGATCTTCTGCAGATGTTGAACAAGGATTAAAATTAGATTGGAGAAGTCGTTTCCAAATAATAGAAGGGGTAGCTCAGGGGCTTCTCTATCTTCACAAACACTCCAGATTAAGAATCATTCATCGAGACTTAAAGGCAAGCAATATTCTACTGGATACTGATATGAACCCCAAAATCTCAGATTTTGGCATGGCGAGGATCTTCGATGCTAATGAAGCCCAAGCGAATACTCGAAGGATTGTTGGAACATAGTAAGTCCACCAATAATGAAATCTCCATTATTTCTACATAAAATAACATTCATTTTAATTCTAATTGTTGCATATTTAGCGGTTACATGTCTCCAGAATATGCTTTCAAGGGTCTCTTCTCCGTCAAGTCTGATGTATTTAGTTTTGGAGTGCTCCTTCTAGAGATTGTAAGTGGGAAGAGAAACGCCGGTTTTTATGAATTTGATTCTTGGAGCAATCTTCTTGCCTATGTGAGTGATCCATCCTTCTTCCTCTTCTTCTTCTTCTTTTGGCCTTTATGTTGGAAAGTAATTTCAAGTTGATTAATTAGGCTTGGGATTTATGGAAAGAAGGAAACTGGAAGGAACTTGTGGATCCTGCATTAGATAACCAATTTTGGTATGATGAGGTGACAAGATGCGTCTATGTGGCGCTTCTGTGTGTACAAGAGAGTCCAGATGATCGCCCGGTTATGTCCGACGTCGTTAGTATGCTTAGCAATGGAAGCTTAAACTTCAGTAGTATCAAACCACCTGCATTTTTTGCTATGAAAAATGCTTCAGGTTCTAAACGGCCATTAAATCTGCATGTAAATGATGCTTCTAATGGCCTTTCTGTTTCAATTGTAGCAGGCCGTTAACATTAACCTGCTCATTTGTTTTGTAAATTCTGTGACTTAGATCAGAAATATGAAAAAAAAAAAAAAAATAATGGGATAAATATGGGGTTGAAGGATTGAGAATTGTACATACTTGTTGTTTGGATTATTTTAGTAGGCTTCTATGATGATGATGATAGTTTGATTGCTATTCCTTGTAGGAGGGATAATGTGTTTTTATATAATGAGCTTATGTTCCAATTATTTTATGAAATTACAATCAACTCAACTAGTTTTATTATATGGATATTTATTGAAAGAGTATGTGATAGGGAGTTTTTGAGCATAAAAAGTTGCTCTCTTGGTGGTGTGGGGTTTTGGAGTTGATGTAGCATTGTGGAAGTGATGTTAGGGTATGTTTTTAAGGGTGATGGAGAGTATCATTAGATGGCTTATCATTACTATTTTTTTTTTTTTAATTAAAATCATCACAAGGAGCTTACGCGTTAATTAAAAGGAGATTACAAGTCCTTCGTTGATCCACAACCCTCTAAAAATATATCATTTGAAACAAAATGTACGAGCCGTTGATCCAAACTATTGCAAGAGAAAGTAAAGAAAATGGAATAAAAAACAACTAGAAATTTAAACAAAAGGGCAACAAAAAACAGGAAAAGCTAGTGGGAAACCAAAGATAACATCCACTCAAGCACGATAGTCAGGCAATCATCTCCTATCCATGATTAGCAGAAGACCATCAACAATGAAACATGCTAAACAAAGACACCACAACTACCCGGAAAAGCAGATAAGATGCAACGCAAGAAAGAAGAGGAATAGAAAGAAACCAACACCAACACACCCCCAACCAAACAAAAATCAAGCATCAACCACCAGAACCATTACCACAACAAGATCACTCAATAAAAAAGGTCAGCCAACAACAAATCAAAAAAACCCCCAACGAAAAGAGAAAAAATATCAACACTCAAGCCAAATAACCTTAAAGAAACACAAACTACTTCCTTTTAGACTTTCTTCTACGGCGTTTGTCTCTACCTAGGCCAAACGCTTTATCAACAATACGATTGACATTCAAATTGCACAATTCCCGAGCATCCTCTTCCGGCCCATTGAAATCCTCCTCAAGCCAATCATTTTGATCCACACAAATACTCTCCGAATTAACAACCAATTGAGCTTTCAATATCTCATTAGAAATAAACGAAACAAAAACATCAACAAATTGCTTATTCACAAGTTCCACCAAAGTGACAAGAGAGTCCACAACAACAACATCCAAATCAAAGGAATTCATCACATCCTCAATAGCAACCGACACATCAGACAACACACCAACCAAAGGGCTCTCACAGGCCCCATATTCAAGATCCACATGAACACAAGGAGAAGCAATAGGGCTGGCGACAAGATTGGCCAAACGATTAGTATCTTCCCTAAACTATTTATGAGATCTTACAATAGCAAACTTATGTTTGACTGCTTGAGTAAAGTTTGAATTAGGTATGACTTGAATTTGACTTGACTCGTTTGCAGTACTGTTCTTAAATAGTTAGACGCTTTAAAGAAATTTAGAGAATCAGTTGGTGTGTTATTGGATCGAATTATTGACTTAATCAGTCACTTGAAAAGAAAAAAGACTGTTAACTACAAATGCAATAATGAAATAATAGCACGATGATGTTTTTTTAAAAAAATTGTTGATGATAAATTTACAAGGAGATATATGTAAGTTATTAGTCATTTGGGATAGCTTTATTACTGCTTTTAAAGATAACTTTTTAGTACAATTTTTTTAAGTTGTAATTTTTGTACTAAAAAGTTATTTTATAAAACAATATAAAAACTATCACAAATAAAGTCGTATTATGCGTTGTTTGGATTGTATTTCTTAATTCTTTCAAAAATTACTTTTTAGTATAAGAATTTCTTCAACTAAAATTTTTTTAATAAAATTTTTCTTTTAAAAATATCAAAAAAGCAATCCCAAACGGAACCTTAATCTTCTCATTTTAATTTAATTCTTGTAAAGCAAGAATCAAGAGTAGTAATGCAAGATAGAAACTGTTGTGCATTAAGGGTAGTTTTCCTTTTTTTATCTCATCAAATTAATGAGTTCAAATATAGCTATTGGTGCAATGACAATAAAATTTTTTTTCCAGATGAGAGCCGTTGCTTCGACTTCCACTTCCACTTCTTCCAGATAAGAAGTTAGCATGTCCCAAAAAATAAATAAATTCATAAACAAAATCAATGTGAAGGTTGATGAAAGTGCAAAAAGAAATAAAATTCATAGATTAAAGATGACTGATCATTAAAATTTATTTTGTTTTTGCAATCTCAAAAACATAAAATCAAAATTAAATAATAATTCAATAATTGTTTCATTTAGAATAATCAATAAGAAATTAAAATGAAATATTTAGATTTTGAGAAAGAAGGAAATATTTATATATAAAGGGATTACCAAGTCATACATAAATAAAAAGGGACATTTATATACATACCACTATATTATTATTATTTTACATATCTAACACCTCAAATACTAATATTACACTTATACCACTCAAATACTTAATTTACCTCATTTTTACCACTCATACTTGATGACGTCTTTCTTCCCGCCGAATACCCCCCCATTCACGCGCAACTTGTCGTGTGGACTGTGTCAGTGTTTTAACTCAGGAAAAAACCTTGTCGCGAACTCCTTCGCGCGGACGTCTACTTGCAAATTGCCGCGAACTCCTTCGCGAGACTCCGGCAGGTAACGATGCTATTTAAAGTATTTTCTGCAGGGAGAAAGCTCTCACAGTCTCACTTATTGTGAATGTATTTTATGTTTTTAAAAATCTGCACTAATTTCATATAAATTTAGGAAGAAAGCTCTCGCCCTTATTGTGAATGAATTTTTTGCTTTTAAAAATCTGCACTAAGTTGATATTAGTCTGGGAAGAAAGCTCTTGCCCTTATTGTGAATGTATTTTAAGCTTTTAAAAATCTGCACTAATTTCATATTAGTTTGGGAAAAATGCTATTGCCCTTATTGTGAATGTATTTTCTGCTATTAAAAATCTGCACTAATTTCATTTTACACACTTTACTTTATAAGTTTAAATTAAACTTCATTTTGACTATAGGAAATTGTTGTTAAATTAAAGGTCATATTGAATGTAATTGTTTGTTGTTGGAATATAATGAAGGAGATTTTTCGAAACAGATACTTGAAATAAATCATGCATTTACTCAAAGTAGATATTGATGTGTTCCAAGAAGACCTATTTCGTAAGGCCCAAAAAAAGAAGATTGCCCAATTTTTTGAAAAAAGATAAGAAAGTGCACAAATGTAACAGGTGTGGTCTTTGGGGTCATCATCGAAGTACATGCAAGAACTCATTACAAAAGATCGTCGTTGACACATTAATAACACAAGTTGGGCAACCAAAACGTCAAAAGTCGGCAAATAGACGGACTGCTGAGGAGTTCAATGAAGGAAGTGAATACGAGTATTCATATGTTGAAGGTTTATAATTAAATGGATTGATAAACAATTTTTTAGGTTATATTTTTTGGGTCATACTTTTTTGGTAGCAGACGGACAGCTTTGGTCTCCATTTTGTACCAGGCATATTCTTGTAAGAATACTTTTAAGCATGTATTAATGACCGATGTTCTGATCATTGTTAAGATAAAGAGTCTTTATGGTTGAATTCAGTCACAACTGGATACGGGCTGCTTGTGTTTATCTAACTGGAGCTTTTGTTTTGATCACTATCAAGATAAATTGTCTTATGACTAATTTCGATTACAACTGGATGTGGGCTGCTTATGTATCTCAAATCGAAGCCAACTTTCAAATCTAATTCTCAAACTTTACAGAAGAAAGATAAAATTCATAGCTTTGCTTTCCACCAAAGGAGTGAATACAAAATAAAGACAATAAGTATAGCAGTTTAACCAACTTAAGCCAACATTTAAATCACAACTTTACATTCCAACCAAAGAGTGAATACCAAATTTTTGTTCATTACACAAAAAACTGAAAGTACATCATCTCTTTTCATACAACATAAGTAGAAAATACATAATTTCTCCAAGCAACATTACATTTTTCTTTGCATTCCACAGAAACACTTAAGGTACTACATAACGCTACAAAACATGACATAAAGATAGTTAAGATACAATATAGCTAGCCAAAATAAACTCGAATTGTAATGTCGATAAAAACCATCACTTCAAAAACTTTCATCGTAAGGAGAATCAAGTCAAGCTTCTTAGCAGTCCTTCGATCAGATGCCTTAAATTCATAATGTGTGACATAAGATAGCTCTTCTTGCTCATCCACTCATTTAAAGAAAGTGTAATCATCCTCACTTTGATTATATTATAAATGCAGCTATAAAACTGCCTTCCACTGTTAGGTCCTCGATGGAAAATATACAAGACACATTTGAGATAACAATGACAGTAAACATAGGTATGCTGCAGCCTAATTTTGACGACGGATGAATTCGAAGAACTCATTAAAAGTTGTAGAAAATCTGAGAAAAAAAGCACGACATTAGAGTTTGGCATGCATCAGAAATCACCTAGAGGAAAATTATAAAGCATAACAAATCTATCAACTCAAGTAAATTTTCTAAATAAAATTAGAAATCAGAAGAATTTAGCACCAAAGAAAGCTATTCATCAGATTAATACCAAACTATGAATATCATTTAAGTGACTCAAAACAATGGAAATGACCAAACAGTAAGATGAAGAAATGAAAACTTGATCTTTTTTGCAAGTAAACAACAATTCCTTCACATGGAGGGTTTAAGCAACAGGGAGTATACACTACATGAATGAAAAGCCGTGAATGCAAAGAAAACAAAAAAAATTTGCCAGCAGACAATGATACCAGCCACCGCTTAAAGAGCAAAAT